TACATTGAATGAACCAGGTCCATCTCGACCAAAACGGTTTTGCCGTATGAATCAAAATTATGAACAACAAATTGAGCAGATGCTATTTAACTCTGATAGTGACGAAAATTATGATTTTTCCGATTCTGGTAGCGAATATGAATTTGAAAATATTGAACAAGTGTCTGACGATTTTGAGAGTGATAATGAGATCGCGAATAATGTACCAAGTGTAAATACTCAATCATCAACAATTAATATTAATAATGATGGTAGTTGGCAAGAGGAGGAAATTGAATTGTCTAATTTTCCTTTTATAAAAAAAAATGAATTGTTAGTTTCGATAGAAGGCAAACAAAATCCTATAGATTATTTTTTTATGCTTTTCGATGAACATTTTATAAAACTATTGGTTGATGAAACGAATAATTATGCTGAAACCGAGTTTTTACGTGTTGGTAGTGCACCACGTTCTCGTATTTCCGATTGGAAACCGACAGATAAAGACGAAATTTTAACATTTATTGCATTGATAATTCACACTGGTACTATAAAACTCAACAGATTAAATGACTATTGGAAAACACATCACCTTTTCAGTCTTTCTTGCTTTTCAAATTATATGAGTCGTGATAGATTTTTAAATTTATTGAGATGTTTTCATTTTGCACCAAATATTGAAACTAATAATCAAAACCTACCCGAAGATCGCTTATATAAAATTAGACCTTTAATTACATATTTCAATAACAAAATGAATACCATCTATTATCCCAAAAAAGAACTCTCACTTGATGAGTCTATGGTGTTATGGAGAGGCCGTCTCCAGTTTCGTCAGTATATTCAAAACAAACGCCATAAATATGGAATTAAATTATACATGCTCACGGAACCTCATGGATTGATATTAAAATTTGCCGTTTATGTAGGAGTACTCGATGACTTGGGAGGAAAAGGCCATGCAGCTAATGTGGTTTTGCATTTAATGTCCGAAAAGTTAAATAACGGCCATGCATTATACATGGACAATTTCTACAATAGTTTTGATTTAGCCTCTAAATTAATTGAA